CATTATACCCTGATTTCCCATTTTCAATGGGTTCAGGGTATAAAAACAAGTAAGAACGTTGCAGTCGAGCGTTGCAGTCGAGTCTTGCAGTCGAGCGTTCCTACTCATTCACACCCCATAAGCAATTAAGTAGCCAAGTTTAATCTAATACTGAAAAAAATGCCGAAAAAAAAATGTGAAAATTACATGGTATTTATTATCATCGATAGAGGAGCACACTAGTAAATAAACTACCTAATTTGAAGCTTCTAGCTCTTCTAATGTAGGGAATATAAACTTTTATGGTTTGCTAGGCCCATTGTGGGTATTAGAGCAAAACATAGATACTACATTGGTGATGAAGTGAATGAGTATTCCGCAGTCGGTAACGCTCAACTGCAACATTCTTACTTGTTTTCTGAGTATGAGTGTGTGTGTTTCTTGTGTAGGCAGAAGGACTCGAAAAATTATTGTGAAATATCAACTTTTCGATGGGTTCAGGGTATTTCGTAGTCGAGCAGTCTCGGCTAGAGCTTACTTATTTGTTTTAAATACACAACTCTCTTTTGCGGTCCCTGTTATAAACGCAATAAACTGAACAATTATTGTCGATAATGAAATATGATGAAGTCGTACTGCGCATAGTAACACGTAAAAGATCTCTGCGTTCAGCGGACGGATGGATAAACACCTGTATAGCTCGCACAGATCGTAAAAAACTCAATAGCTTTTCCAGTTTTTATGTTACCGATTGAAATCCCTATCCCATACATCTCAGAATTCTATGTATGTATTTGTGATAGCAAGATTTCTTTGCCAAATTACAGGTCTCTAATAGTTGAAATACGTGGTGAAATGCGGAGGGCAATTTCATCCATCTTAAGTCTGGCACTGATGCATTTGCCTATTCGTCAGGCAGTGCTCTACAAGTTTGATTAAGAAAGTCAATCAACAAGAAATAAGTGCCTGTATGCACAGCCCAAGTGCAATCGCTGCAGTCAGCGGACCCCTTGCTTCAGCGTTCTTGAATGAATGTACGTGCGCATGTGTTGTTTGTGTGTATGTGTATATAAATTGAAATGTATCTTTTATATTTAATGACTGAAAAAGATTTGGGTAAAACTATATACATATGTATGTATTTACTTATTAGGGTAATGCAAAATTTTACTGCAACCTTTATTGTTTTATATGAATATACCTATGTATACTTAAGATGCTGGAACACCTGCCCAACAAAGTATCTGCTAGTCTGCACTCTTGATTAGTGCACTTTTAAATAATTTAATTTATGTCTTCATTTAAATTAATATTCTCGAACTTAGAGCTTATTACCTACCTTCGCATTCACCTGTCTTCACATTGTATAGATAGCCTGCTGGGCAATTCTTAGCCTTTATGTTGAGACAGTGATATCCGCCGATTGTATTGTGACAATATTGCGATGCTTTGCACTCATGTAATTGCTCTTGACACTCATCGATGTCCACACATTTACCTTGTTTACCATCAAAAAAGTAGCCCCTGGGACAAATAATGTTTTTATCCTCATAACAGGTAACATTATTTTCGTTCAATTTATATCCGGGGTGACAGCTGCACCTGTACGCATCGTATGTATTTATACATACTTGCTCACAAAGATTGGGTATTTTTCCACAGATATCATCTATATATATAATATATACATAGATATACATAATTACAATTTGAATATTGTTATTACAGGTTTTATAATTCCGATAGCTCTTACCATCACCGGATAGGACTATTGTTCCATCAACAGTTTCCCGGCTCTCGACAATTTCATCCTCTCTTTCATCATGATCAATATATAATACGAGTTTATTTTTCCTGTCAAGCCCCGACTCCGACTCCAATTCAGAATTTGAGAAGCCGTCATCAGAGCAGCACAATCGATATGAATCGATATTCAAAAGAAATGAAAACAATGGATCCGTACACTTCTGTTGACTAGCCTTAACAGCCAAACCAACTGGAAAGCCCATTCAATTAATGAGTAAGCTTTAGTGATATATGTGATGCTTTATAATATATTCACGAATACCTTGACAAGCTCGGCAGCAATTAGTATATGAGGTTGACGTCAAATTATAGCCTTTATTGCACGAAGCACCCTCCAATGCAGCAAGACGACCGAGCTCACAATTCTGACGGTCCAACTCTTTTGAACAGCAAACGCCAAATGTCGATGAGCACAACCCAAGCCAAAGTTTAGATATATTTGCTATAGTTGAATCCATTTTATCGCATACATTTGTGGTACGAGCATTACGCAAGCCACTTATACAACATTTTCGAATATAGTCAGCGATTTGTTCTTTAAAATAGCATGAAACCAACTTGGTCAATTAATATCAGTTCAACAATTTGTATTCTCGTATCTTGCTCTCTCGTAATTTTTTCTCTCTTTTAAAATGTTTTCTTTTACTAAATTCGTTCAGGTAAGAAAGCTCTAGTCGAGACTGCTCGACTACGAGATCCCCTGAACTCTTCGAG